GAAAATTAAAACAGCATCTATCAGAAAAAAAAAAGGCTACATTTTAAAAAGACACGAAGAAGATGCCAACCAACAGATAGATAAAATATTTGTAGATGATTTGTAGAAAATAAATAGATAAAATATTTGTAGATGATCACTGCAGAACATGCACAGAGAATACAATATCATTTTTTTTTTTGTTACATAATGTACTTTAAACCCAAATAGCATGCAGGCTGAAGGTAGATGATAGCCAAATATCCCCCCTAAAAAAAGGATTTTTTTTTTTTTTTTAAACAAAACTTTTTAAATTGAATTTTGAGGTTGGCGTACGCAAGAAATTTCTGATAGTTACACTTTGCAATTCAAACGTATTGACAGCTAAATATTAAATTTTCTGACTCGCATTTATTTCAAATAATTTTACTGTGTTGAATAAAACACTTAACAAATTACTTTTATCCTAAACTAAAAATAAACAAATTAGGAAAGCATTCCAGCGGGACAAAACTTGAGAATAAATAATGAGAATCTAGTCTCTTTTTTTTTCTTTATTGATTTTTTCTTTAACTCATGCAGAAAAATATAATTATGTAAATAATTATAAACTTATTATAAATTATTTCTTACTACAACTTTCAGTTACAACACTGCATGACGTTTCAATTTTGCTAAAGTTTCTAAACTTAACGAAAAATTACTAGAAAATTTTCTTTATCAAGGATTGAAGATGCTCATCAGTCAACGTGGTTCTTTTTTTTTAGACTTACTAATCTTTACCTGGGAGGATTATTCTCTTGTGCAAATGCACTAACAAACAAAGCGAATATTCTCATTGCAAAAATTTGTAGCTGAGTGTAATTATTTTTTGAGAAGAACAAAAAATGTTAATCAAATCTGTACTTTCAAATATCTAAATAAGATTTATACTACAGTGTAAATAAATTAGCTTCATTTGCAGATTTGAGGTATTTACTCACGTTCTTTTTTAATCGCACTGAGAGTAATGTAAAACTTAGACTCCAAATCATTAAAATCTTAAACTTTTCTTCAAATTTTGGACATAATAATTAATGCTATAATAATGCTAAATAATTTACGGGAAATGTACTTGCAGCTGCCCGCGGCTGCCAGCTTGAGATCATTGCTCTACATAGTATACCACCATTTAATAGCAAAACTGAACAAATGCGGGAAAATCTATGAAAATGTTATAAGTAATTTTAGAATCTTTGAATCTTTTCTGTGTGTACGGTCGAGCTCTACATATATTCCAGGAAGATGCCCTGTCCTTTAGGCTTATTTTCCCACTTAACATTTCTGGAACTACGGTTGACACTGACTTATGCTTATTGCTCAAAACTTCCCATTCTGCATTATTCTTATTAATAGTTATTTAATTGAATTCACAGATCAAAAATACTGAATACGCTCTTTTGTTACTTCCATTTATTTAGCTTTGAAAAAATAACTGTTAAAAACCGAACTGCAAGCTTCAAAACAAACTAACAATAAGAACAAAGTAAAATTACCACTTGCTTTTACAACAAGTTGATGCAGGTAGTTTACCCTGCCCCTCTCCAACTTTTAGTTTAACTGAAAGAAAAACCACATTGGATGACTCAATATGTTTAAAAATTGTTCAGAAAAGGTATAGCTCTATATGTAAATTTGTGGATCCGACCAGCTACGCATAAACTTCTCATCAGCTCAATTCAAGATTAATTGTAAGGCCTTTTTAAACCGATCTAAACGGTGTTAATTAGTCAAGCGATTAAGAAGACACGTCTAGCATAAAAAAAGAAGAGTGGATAAGACGTGCTAGGTTTTGCCCTTCCCACAAATTCCCTACTGTCTTTGGTTCTGTTTTGAACGGAGTACAGTTTAGCAAGTGCCAGCTGGTTTGGTAAGTCAAATTTGACTGAATTTACCAAATTATGGCAGAAGACAGTAGGCGTACCTACCTAAAGGGAGGGATGCCTTTGTGAAGGATTTTCTGAGGAAAACTCGCTCGTGTTCAGTTAAACGTGGGTAAAACTATGAAAATGCCCATTTAGCCATCCCGTTAATCAGGATTTCAATCGCGATTGAACTACCAAGTATTTAGCGATTTTATTCGCTCGGGGGTTGATGGGTAAGTCAGATCTGAATTCTTGCCAGTCAAGAAATTTTGAGTCCGATCAGAATCTTAAGTGCAGTCATTACTCTTACTCTACTTGAGTTAAACTAACCTGCAAATTAAAATTTATTTGGGTTTGCTAGTCCCAATGAACCTAAATAAAGTATTGTAGTTTACCATTTCTTTATTTTTCCCTTTGTTTAAAATGCAGCCGTGGCGACAAATCCCCATTAAACAAAAGAATTAAGTCAAAAAAAATTTAACTGAAATTTGGATTATAGAACAGGATAGAATTTTGTTACAGTAGGTGAATATTTATTACAAATTAAAAGCTGCAGTTTGTCTCCCGGAAAAATACAAACATCTCACAAGCCAAATAGTGTGCTGAAAGTTTTACACCCAACATATACAAATATTAGTAGAAACATAAACTTGAAAAGTACTTACACAGATGTGCCAAAAGTATTAAATTCTTTCACAATGCTGCCAAAAAGGAGGTATCCCAGTTGAGCAAAAGCGAAGAAAACGATGAAGAACATGACAGCGAAGCCTCCGATGTCTTTAGAACACTAAAGAGACATACAAATTGAAATTAATTAATCTGTTGCTATCATGGCTGACAACTACAATCATGACTGGCATTTTAAAATGCTACAACTACCGTGCAAAATTCTAATCTATAAAGTCCCCGTAAGTAAGGTGGTGACAGAGAATTTTGTAATCACACAGTTTTGTAACGATTTTGATTTTGTCCATGAATTTAAACATTAATTTTAAAAAACAAACGTGACTGTCATAAAATTGGAATAAGGTTTAATTATCGTCTGCAGCATTAAAAGTATTCTTTTCTTTAAATGTCGCTGAATATAAAAATGGTCGAAGGCTATATTCTTGCGCTTCCGAAAGAAATGCTCTTATTCAATTATTAAAAAAAGCGTGAAGATGGTATAATATTCTACCAAGTGACATAATTATACGAAAGTAAAGAATTTCAAGATAAAAAATGAACCCAACAAGGTACGTACAGCTTATTAAAAGGTCGCTCTCATGTTTTAAGGAAAATCCAGCCTCCCCAAGAACATGTAAAATATTTAAATATCTTGTATGACTATAACAAAATTATAATCTGATTTAAGTGATATAATTAATCATAATAATAACACGATGCCATCGCCTAACGCGAAGCATTTTTATCGGCGTAGACTATGTACAGATTGCTGTATGAAAATTCATTTTGCAGGTGAAAAATGGAAATATAGTAAGTTACAATTGTGAAGCTTGATATACTTAACTGACTGCAATAGTAAAAGACGATTACACCAATAAAAAAACTCAAGACAAAAAAAAAAAAAAAAAAAATTGGAGAAAAAGTCTTAATATGTTGGTTCAGGAAAATTAAGTAAAGGTTTTTTAAAAAAAGATTTTATGTTTATTACTCGTTTCTCTTATAACGGAAAACTTAAAATTAAGGAGAGTAGAAAAAAATGCCAAAATTAATTCGGATTACTGTCAGAAATATGTTTTAACATTATGTGTAAAGAAGAAATTCTATCTTCTTTACACATAATGTTAAACATATTATAGTTTAGTTTAACCTATTATCCAAACAATCTTCATTGTGTTAAGTTCCATGAGTATAAGGCTCCAAGCCGTACCTCTAAATGTACTGCTCTATTTTTTGAAAAAATGAGAAATAAAACCGGAACTGAAGCTGCTCCCTTTAAATGCATCCACGCAAGTCCCCTAATGTGTATCCTATGGATTACTGTGCATTTGGGCTTTTTAAACAAGCTCTTTATAAGGGGTATCCCAAGGTGGATTCTGAAGGAGGAGTGGAGTAAAATTACCTTTGATGTTTTAAGATAGACGACTTTTATCCTGGAAATTCAGATGTAAGATGATAGTTCAACCAAAAGGGCTATCAGACTGAATATATTAGAAAATAAAATTCTGAGATTTGTTTATATATAAATCTTTGAAAAATTATTACAAAAATGTGTGAACGCCCTCTGTATATTAAATTATTTATGATGGTCAAGAAAATGTTAGTTTATCTAGTTATTTATGCCGTATACGACTACAGTAATTTATGTTCATAAGTAACTTTTAAATCAAATATTCCTAAAACTAGAATTTTATAATGTTCATACTTCAACAATTCTGTACTAATTAATTCCGAAAAGAGTAAGTATCTCGCTTGCAAGTTTTGCAGAAACAACTATTTCAATTTCGACTAATCGTAATTATAGACTTTTAAGAAATATTTTCGCGAATGATTAATCCTTTCCTTATGCTTGAAACGTGTACTTTTACTTTAATACACCACAATAGTGAAGGTCCATAAACTTTTTTCCTGCCGTAAATTAATTTATGGTTTTATTGTGGATGGTAAAATATTCTCATCTGCAAATTCTATCATTTTGGTTCTCGGTCCTTTTTTTCTAATAAAGCACAGAATTACACACTGAAGTTAAGATTCCATTGCTTATACATTTTTTAGATTTATTTAACAGTAGCATATTCATAAAACTCAGTAATCAGTTTTATATCATCAATTTTAAATCTGTTCACAAGCGACAAATTATAAGAAAAGATAAAGAGAAAAACAGAGAGAGAGAGTTAAAACACAATAACACGCCGAATAAATACTGATTCACAAGTTAAACAACAAAAATCAGCGTTATATTTACAAAATTTTGTAAATATAACGCTGATTTTTGTTGTTTAACTTGTGAATTAGAGAGAGAGTTCTTTGGAGAAAAATGATTAAAAAAAAGATTGATAGAATTTTTTATCCTTTTTAAAAACCGTAAATTTATTTTTGAAGTTTAATGATTTTAATACAAGTCGTTAGATGTATTACATAAATCGTTTCATATACAACACAGCTTAAAATCGTACTTAAGGATTTTGAGAAAGTGAATAAAAATAGAATCGTATGCTGAAAAACGCAAATAAAAGAGAGAAAACAACCCCAAAATATACACAGTAGAATCTCTCTTAATCGGCAGCAACGAGACCTCTCTGATTATGGATAACTGAACACATATAATATGGTCTCTTTCAATGTGAAATGTTTCTGAAAATCGTGAACACTACCAAGTTCACGCATTTATGGAAAAAAAAGGGGGGGATTGGTAGTTCATCTTTATTTATATCCTGACTTATTCATTGTTTGAGTTGTAAGTGTTGTTACACTGGGCTGCAGAAACATAACACAAATATTTTCCACGTTTAAGTATTCAGATCGTTAGCCCATATTGACATATTCTTATTTTTAGCCTAAATTACGAATGTAAATTTTGACATTCAAAAGGTGTCGTTAGTTTGATGCTGCCAGTTAAATGGGTGCCAGTTAGGAGAGATTTTACGTTATTCGGCAAAACTCAATCTAATTTTAGCTTATTGCTCCTCGAAATATAGATTTATAGTTATAAACTGTTAAAAAATATTAAGAAATATGTGACCCAGGAAGAGCAGCATATGGAATTTGAACAATATCGCTTCTGCTACTGACGAGTTGGCACTACGAGAAGATAAAGAATGATTCATGCCTTTCTACTAAGCCTTAAAATGTTATACTTCTTATTATTTTAGATACACAGAAATGCTGTACGTATCTCATTATTATTCTGGATAGAAGGAAGGGCTTATCGCTTATCTTAATTGAACGTAACAAGTACAAAGTAGTAAAGCTATTTCTATACTTCGAAAAATTCCGGCAAGGGAAGAAAGCAAGGGAAAATAAACTTAAGGATTTTACTATCTGAAAATACATGATGCATATCAAAGAATTACTATCTTTAGCACTGGAAAAAAGGGTTCAAATCAATTAATCTTAAAACGAAAAAAAAAAAAAAAAAAAAAAAAAAAAACTGTAGCTGCAGCCGCAGAACAATGACACCGAATATGTAACGTCCTAACAATGCTTTGACATCATTGAGGCACAATGATTTGCCATATTTAACGGGGTGGAAAATCCTATGTAAAATACCGAGTAAGCATTTTTCCTACAAGAAATTTTGCACTTAACAATTGCTAACGGCGATGTAGAAATCAGATAACAGTTTTCTCACATTTTTCACTATCATGGAGATAGATGATGTCTTTGACAGATGGTCTCTTGGAATGACGAAGCACAGTCTTATCTAAATAAGAGTTCTGAGATACAAAAACTACCGTTTGCCTTCAAAAACGTTTCATACGTTTCAACAGAAACCTTGATATTTACAGAAAGTCAGAGCAGGTTGTGTCTTCTTTGTATTATCTATTACCTTTTCGCGGTTTTTGGAGGAAAGTCATTGATAAAACCTATGAGCTTTGATTCTGAGTATATCTGAGAAGTCAGAGCATGAATAACATGTTCACAGAATAAGGCGACATGTGACGCAAATCATTACACATCTGTTGCACTCCACTACAGGAAATACCATTCAAAGATTGCAACTACAGAGCATGTGTAAAGAAAACTATATCTTTTAAGTTAGACCGAAGCAATAATTAATAGCAATCTATAGAAAAATTAAAAACAAAATAAAAAACACATTAAAGCAAAAATTGTATATTTCTTTTAGCTGTTCTTTTGCGTTCCTAAATAATGAACTTTTTTTTAGTGTGTTCCTAACTAATGCACTACTTTCGATGGCAAAAAAATTGAACTAATATTTTTTCTTTTTTTATACAATAAAGCCCACTTCCAAATAGTGCACAGAATAATTTAGTTGGGTTTTGTTCTATATGTGTTCTTAGAAGATCTGCAAAGAAGCTACAAACAGAGCTCTGAGCACATTTTTATTGGATCAATCTATTTTTTAAAGTTCTCCTACCGGTTATTCTGTCAATAACAAAAAACAATTCGTGCTAAGTTTTGCTTAGAAAGTAAAAAAAAAGGTAGTTAAAATAAGCAATTCATTAGTTAGAAGATTGTGTTATTACAACAGAGTATAAGCTAATCTCAGAAGAATCCAACAAGTTATTAATTTTATAACGCATTGCATTATTCTTTAAAATGTTTTAATTTTAGACAAGTAAAGAAAGTGCAATTTCAGAAAGCAGGTACAGATGAGTGGAACAACAGAATTTCACCGCTGGTCGTACTGGTATAGTTGTTCTACATTAACTGTGCAGCTCCGTTCCAGTTTTGACGCTGAACACTCCGTGGGATGGATCCGAGAGTCTCCCATCTCTCTTACCCAAATCACTTGAGAGGACACTCGGATCAATCCAGTATTTTAAGTTCTCTCATACTGCTCAGACAAAATCCGCTTATAAATATTTATGCGTTCTCCAGGATTCGAACCCGGGTCCAACGCCAGCGTAACTAACCACTATATCGATCACGGTGTACGGCAGATCTCTGCTGAGAAGGAAAAGCATCCTGGACATGAAGAATAGATAGGACCACTGGTGCGAAAACAACAATTCCCTTCTGCAAAAGGCGCCGCTTAATGTGATCGCATTTGTCGATGGCATTTTGATAATATTAAGCGATGAGAAAAAATATCCTTCAAAACAACAATAGAATTTCACTAATTTAATATAAATGCAGGTAAAAAACAAAACATACAAATAGGCTTTTTCACAGCATTTTAATCACAAAAATGTTATATAATGGTGACTGGATTATATTCTGGATGTTATATGACTACTAATTTTAATAATACTCGGAGAGCATCCCTCATTGGAAAAGAACTAAGGTTTTTTTTTCGGGGGGGGGAGGTGACTGATTTTAAATGGGTGATTAAAATCCTAGATGTTTGTCTCTTGGCAAATTTTCTCTGAAACATGACAATTTTTATGCTTGCATTTTAAATTTATTTGGCGACTTTGATTCAGTTTAAAACATTTCTTTTATAATACTTTGATAATATTAACCGGATTTTTTATCTTAATAAATGATGTACTTTGCATATTTTCGTATATAAGTATGCGGGACTTCGGCAATTCAATAACGATACTCGAATGATAATATTAACAGCGATCATAATGTATCCTGACAAAAAAGGGGGGGTAATATTGATTGAATCAGTATCTATCTCGATAATGCGCAGCAAAGCGTATAAAGGAGAAAAAAGGAGAAGAAGCGAAAGTTTTTATCATGTGACATACCTCAGCACATTTTAGTAATGTTTTATATTTCAAACTAGAAAAATAACTGGAGGAAGTCAAATAAATATTCAGGGATTGTCGATGAATTATATAATTAACATAACGATAAAATTTTTCTGCATCGATTAAAATAAAAATCTTTCATTAAATGTTACTTACAAAATTATTCATACACTTTTCCTATCATTGGATCATATTCACAACTCAACCTAGATACTTAAAGGAAACTTGCCTCTTTCAATAATTAGATTTTTACTAGACGTAGTTACTATTTGGTACACTACGTCACCATCGCATAGGAAGAAAATACGATTTTCAAAGCAAAATTTTCAGAGTTCATGATCGCATGAAATACCACTTTATACAGAGATTCGAACAAAAATTACACAATAGAACTTAGGTTCACGAATGTTTGAGATCACGAACAAATCGGTTCACAATCAAATTTTGTAAGCAGAAGATGTCTTGGATGACAAACGATGTGTCGAGACACGAACAAGTAAGTCGGAACAAATGATACTCCAACATTCAGTTAATGCAGCAGAGGAAATGTATTCAGAAGTAGACGAAAAGGGAAATGGTTCTAGTTATTTGATCCTCGATGTATATGAAAAATGGGGTAAGGCGCAAAGGGTCATAGCACATTATCACTTTAGTAAAGCAATAGTTAGCTACAGCATAAATATTCGCAATGATAATGCTATGTTTTGATTCAGAACATTTTAAAACAAAGACAGAAACAGATCGCATTGAACAAATTTTTAATAGGATAAAGACTCAGAAACTCTCAAATTGAGGAGAGGAAGGGGGTAGAAAGACAACAGCTACCCTGATATTTTTAAGGAACAGGATTTCTCTTTTTGAACCTTTTGCTTCTCAACGCTTTTTACGCCATCAACGTTCTTTCTTAGAGATACGGTAAAATTTAATTCAAGTTTTCATATTTTTTCTATGTTTAGTACTGCGTTAAATAAAGAGTATATCTCCAATAATATGTATTTGTTAGGTTTAATAATTCTACTGGTTTTGTATTATGAACATATAAAGTACTCTTTTTTTTAAGCAATCATTTGTGATACGGGAGTAGATTAATTCATTTTACATTAATTCCTACGTAGAAAATTGTTTCGGTTTACGAATATTTCGTATGACGAACTACAGGAACTTTAGGAATAAATTAAGTTCGTAAGCTAAGTTTTCACTGTATAAATGAATGCCATTTTTAATACATATTTTCTATCAAAGCACGAAAAATTGGCCATATTTAGAAGTTAAAGTTTAACCAATTATGATTCGAATTTTAAGTTCAAAATATCAATGTACAAGTCTTCAGAATACAGCTTCATAGCAGTTCTCTGTCTCTTGACGAACTCACTTTAAGTTTTCAATTTAATGTACTAGGTTAGGATATTTGAGAACTCTGTGGCATTGAAATCACACTTCATTCTTCACGCATATTTAATACATATGAGAAAAAATTATAAATGAACAAGTTCATAAGTATCTGGTGACGGCAAACACTTATCGCCTCAGTGATAGGTATCTGATAAAAGCCACATGATCTAGATTGGGATTTTCATATACTTACCCTAGATAGAGTAGAGGAAAGTTGTGTCATGGTCTTGTTGAAACTGATGTATTTAAAAACTTTTATCCATGCAATGAAAATGTCAACGGCCACAGCATTGTTGAATTGCATCTGCCAGAAACCCAGGAACTCGAAATCCGGAAATATGTCAGGCCGGCTTAAAAGCTCCTCTAGCATATTGTCCACAACTACCGTTCGGAATGCAGAGAAAGCGATGCATATAACAGATACCTGAAATAACAAAGAAAAATTTAACGGTTTTTTTAGTACAAATACTGATATACTCTCCTTGAAGTCCTACTTTAATTATACAAAAGTAAATAATAATTATATAGACTGATGGGAGACTATATCGGACGCTGCATCTGTACAAAATGAAATAAAGCTCAATCTTTTTCTGCCATTCAGCATCACATACATATGTGAAACGATTTTTTCAGCTTTAACTTTTACTGAATCCAAATATCGTTCAACGCTGAAAAACGACGAAGATGCATTACGTCTAGCAATGTCAAATACTGCATCAAGATTAAATTTGTTATGCAACAAAAATAAACTCTTCTATCTCATTAAAATGTGACTTTTATTAATTTTTATATACTTGAAACAAATTCTAAAACCACTTTTTATATGCATATTGTTTACCAAGAAATAAATTATTAATAGGAAAATACTTAGTTTTACATCTTTATTCTATTTTTAATATCCGCGGCTGCGAAAACATCTCGATAGTAAAAAGGGAATCTTGAATGAAACAAAGTTTAAGAAGCGCTGATTTATATTATTTTACGTTAGATATAAATTTCTCATTAATTAAATGTACAACCTAGGAAAATTTGTGTGACGTTTCTAGGTTTCTACTGAGTACAAAATTCCTCGCTCAGTTCTCATTATAAAAAGTATCTCTTTTTAGTTACATTAAGGTATAGGAAATAATACCATACAAACTAAAAATAGCCGACAACTGAGCTCGTATTTCAACTAATGCAAAATTTGCGTAGAATGCAGCTACAGTAAAACCAACATAAAGAAAGACGACCAACAGCTATTAAAGACCGATCTTTGATAGGTGAATTTAAAGAATATGATTATCAGTGGTGATGCTCATTTATAGCAGTATGATGTTTGTTCACGTTTTCAGAATACTAGTAGTCTCTTTCAGAAGTGGTCCTTTACGAGAGATGATGGTCGTGAGAGGCTTCACTGTATATTTTAAAGATTTATTTATGCAAGACTTAAGAAAACGAATTTTTTTCTGTAATTCTGTAATAATTTTTTTTCCTTCAATACTCCATTTTCCGTTCGAATGTCTCACTTTCTCTTTCTCTATGTCTGAACACTGATTTTTCTTTTGTGCCAATTATTTGATTTTTGATGAAAAATACTTACCAATATAACAACAAGATCGAGAATATTCCACACATCATAGAAATACACGCAGCCATTCTTCTTGATCTAAGGAAAAAGAAGAGATTAATTAGTAACGTAAATACAATGGAAAAAAATATCATCAACCTTTACTGCTAGGTAAAAGATTAAACTTCGGCAGTAAAACGTCTGTAGAGAGGCTCATACAGAAAGGGTCTTGACTAGAAGAGAAAGGGTCTTATTTACGAGTTTTTCAGCTATAAATGTTCCTAGACATCAATACCTTTCAATATAAATTATTATTATTAAAACTTAAAGGTTGGTTTTTCAATTTGTAAAGAAAACTCTCCTTTGATGTAACAAGAAGCTTCACCTAATCAACTTAGAATAATAAGTAAATCTTCCCGAACTTTAACAGGTCATAGTCTATCAATGTTAGAACATGTAATAATATGCATGTACGCAATAAATATTTTTTGTAGTTATATGTCATTATTCTTTTTCTTCTGTAAAACATCGACTAACTGTATAAAGGTGCTTTCCTTAATAAGTAAAGTAAGTTAAGTTGCTAATAAAGTAACTCATGTCATTATTCTTCTCCTGTAAAACATCGCCACACTGTATGAAGGTGCTTTCTCTGATAAGTAAGTAACTCTTAACGTTAATGGCGTACCACTTTGCCGCAAAATCAGTACTATAATTTAATATCTTATGCTTATAATTTTAGGAAACATTTTGTTAAAGCACATTCCATACTAACTTGAGGTCAAACAGACAGATATTCAGCATATGGGGGTCAATACATCTGATTAAATACGAAATACTTAAGAAATTTTGCGTTATGTTGTTATGTATCTCTCAGATACACGAACGCCACACGTTGAACATCATATGAACGAACACGAATCGTTGAATATATGTAGAAATACATCACACATTTTCATTGCTTAAAATATTACATTTCGATATTTTGATGGACTCGGAGATATCATAATGCAGAGCAGGATTTATACTTCTATGACACGATTTCAAGTGTTCAGGTGGGCCTTGAACATATTACTTTTATTTTTTCAGTTTTAAGTCGTAGGGGTTGTAACTGGAAGCTTAAGTCCTGCAGACCCTTCCAGGCTAATAGCAAGTAATTGCTACATCTTAAATTACTCAAGAAATGCGCTTAATTTAAAGCATTGGCTAGCAAAACGGTAAAGCCAAAATACAGAGAGTAACTTAACAGCAAGACGCGGTTGGCAGAAGCTCTGATCTTAAACGTTCAAAACCCTCACCTCAAATACACACAAACCTAATTTCCATTCTGGTGAGGAATACGGAAAAAAGAAGTTATAGAAAAGATTTACTTCTTATTAATTATCATAAACACCTTACAAAGTCTCCATTGCAATCAAGTGGGCGGCAAATTTCTCCACATCAAACAAATAAATGATATTCCTTGCAATAATTAATCAGAATACAATCATGTGATATTCAGATGTTTATAAAGCTAGCTGTGCTCAATATCGATGCATCGCTGTGCCTTTCTTTTTCTTTTAGTTCCAGATTTATTAAGAATTTTCAACCTATGTTTAGTTTATTCTTTAAAACTGGAAGCCTAGATCTACGATTAACTGCTCGAGAAATGCTAATTTTTTAACGTACATAGCTTTGATAATAAAACTAATTATAGTATACTCTTGTTAGACATTGTTGATTTGCATATGTTTCACTCATGGTAAAAGTTTGTAGACCTCCTTATGTTCCACTCATGACTGGTTCAAAGCACAACTGATATTAAGAGTTGCCTAGGCCGCCGCCTAAGAAGTTCTCCCAAGCAACTGTTAACTAATGTTACACTTCGCTTTAAATTATCAATATGTTTAATTTGTGTGAGGTGTCAACTTTACTGATCGCCCTAGAGCACCAAAAATGCAAAGCCCGAACCTGATCGTACTTCAGTTTTCTTCAGAGTAAACATTTTTTTTTTTTTTTTTTTTTTTTTTTTTTTTTTTTTTTTTTTTTATGCCAAACCCCTGGTAACACACGTTTTATCATTTCGTCCAGCACTTTACCTTTGATCAGCTGTCCTGCCGGGCAGGTGTTATCCTTATAATTACAGTGAAGGCGAAGGAGAAAACAGAAGGAAGACTGAAATGGCATGATTTTCGTTGCAGCCACTAGAAAGTCTGCAGTGGGCATCCCCTTCGATTCAAGGAATCCACAAAATTATGAGTTGGGGGGGGGGAGATCCATATATCTTCAAAAACGCAAAAGTTAAAAAAATGAAAATATATTAATCTTTCATGCAATTTATGTGAAGTAGAGGAAGGAGAAAAAGGATCTTGTTCATTTTATTTCAGGTAATAATAATTATAGAAATATAATATATATATATTATATATTAATTTAACTGGATTATTTTAGATGTCTAAGTTAGTTCATACGTGTTAATTTTCCGGAACCTAGTGGAGTCGAAAGGAACCTGAAGGTTCCCTGAAGCATAGTTTAAAAACCATTGACTTATAAAATTACTTTTCCGTTATCTAAAGAACATCTGGCACGAAAACGTTTTAAGATGTGTTAACAAAGAGATTCTTATAACATGTTCTTTTCAGGGAAAAAAAAAAAAAAAAAAAAAAAAAAAAAAAAAAAAACTGTTAGATAAATTGAAAAAACTGTACGAAATAATCAATATTTACATGATCTCATTCGAACCAGTAATCGAAAGGAAAACCAGTTCTACATATATTTAAAGAAACTTATTTTCTTATCACAGCTGTAAAACAAGATCCACTTGTGTACGTCACGTCTAAATGTTAAAAACCGGCCATTTGATGATATCTAACTTTTAAATGCAAGAAAAGTGAGATGCCACGCAAGATCTTTTGAGGAACATTTAAGTGGGAAATATGCTCGATGTGAAAAACTCTTCTATTTACCCTAGTTCTTAATTAATATACGTTATATCAAAGCTTACTACAATACAGGTCCAGAAAAATGCTTTGACTTAAAAAATCGCGCACTTCACTTTAAAGGTAATATGATTATAGATAACAGGTATTATCTAAATACTTCTTTGACGTTATAAAAGAAATAATAAAGCAAAAAACACTTTTAAAAAATACTGCATATATAAATGATGGTAGAAAAATGAGAGATGGTAGAAATGTAAGGGCTCTTGAAGAATAGCGTTTTTTCTATTTCATAAAAAAATTGAATCATAAATGTGATCATAAATGTTACATAGTGTGACTTCTTAGCCACAAGTGACGGAGGAAGGGGACATCCGGTAGCTAACAAGCATTTGTTTCGTGCTCTTGACTTATCTAGAGACATCAACACCTGCAGCCGCAAAAGGCTGCCTCGTTGTTAATTGAAAATTACTTTAAAATTATTTGGCCTTGCTTCTCAGCCATAGCGCACTCCTGGGATAGGTGTGAATTGCCTAATGTGTTAAATAACAATGAATATACTGAATTCACAGGTGTCAATTTTATTTTAAGTGTTCAAACACATTGAATTCGTATTATTATTGAAGGCAACTAAGTACAAACTTTTCAGAAAATACAACATTAAAAATTAAGATATTTTAAAAGCTGCTATTTTCATCCGATCATGTTTCTTCTGCACTCAATGATTCATATAAAATATTCAGATTATTAAAAATGTTGCCAATTAAGATACATTTGAAATATTCATGTGTATCATGTTTTGCATTTTTAGTTCTATAACTATTAACTAAATACGAACTTTCTTTTCTAAATTTAAGTATTTTTTTTAAATAAAAATGTAGTTATTGAAATAGTTTTACAGTTCATAAATTTCATAAAAATAATACAGGAATGAATGCAAGAATGGGAATTACATATATCTATGGAAAAAAAAAACATGACATACTTACTTACAATGCACTGATAAGTATGTACCCCTATTACTCAATAAATTATATGCATTATTAAGTAAATTTGCAAAATATTTTTATAAGGTATTTCTTCCGCCTTCTTAGCATGCCTTCGTAATGTAGTGGCTTCGTAGTGGTCAGCACGCTTTTCGCATATTCCAGAGATCCGTGATTTGATTCCCGGCGAGGGCGTTGCTCATTTTTCACGTCTCCTGCTTCCAAAAAAATCCTAATGTCTTTAAAGTGGCGCTCCAACTAAAAGGTTGGTGATTCTTCACACCCAGGATTAGGCGATTGGTCCGCTAAACCCTAATCACCCTTTAAAAGGGGGAGTATATAAGGTATTTCTCCCGCCTTCGTAATGTAGTGGTCAGCCCACTGGGCGCGTATTTCAGAGGTCCGTGGTTCGATTCCCGGCGAAGGCGTTGCTCATTTTTCACATCTTCTGCTTCCAAAAAATCCTAATGTCTCTACATTTTTACAGGGTTACGAGTGTTTTTAAAGGCCGCCCGAACAGTATTGCGGTTAGTCATGCTGAATGCCGCATCGATAGGCCCGGTTTCAAATATGAATATTTGTAAATGTATAGTGAACTGACATTTAAAATACACAGCGAGCCGAAAGTATGTGTTATTTTGTTTGTCGTGCACGTTGAATACCTTTCAGGCAGCATTATGTATTTTGAAGGGGTGTTATAGATAGTGGTGCTATACTAATTAACCGTTTGATAAGGGGATAGTGCCCACGTCCTCCGTTTTCTCTCTCTCTCTCTCTCTCTCTGGTGTGGTTTGGGGTACAGGAAGAAGGGTAGGAGGCTCTTAGACCCATCCTTCTAGGATATTTTTAAAAATTGGGCGGAACTGTCTCCTATATGGTGTTCAAGGTATCATGCCAACGACAGATACAGTCTTGCACTCAATGCCAATCTTAGACCGTCGGCCCGCACACATGCAAATTAAAATTGGCCGTCCTTTTTTTACAGAAATATAATATGTTTTATAATCATTTCGCCGCCCACGTGATGTGGACTATCTTATCTTCCGCTGGGTTGTTACTACTTCATTACAAATTTTTCACGTTTGTATCAAATAACAATGCTTACGACATTAACACTGTGTGTAAATATTGTCTGATGGCAACGTTTAATGGATTGAAAGTCACTGTGATATCACTTCATAGATATTTCACAACAACG